ATCCTTATATTAAATTCTTTGTAGCTTATTATTCATTTTTATAACTACCTAGGTAAAAGCCTCTTTGTTCCATTTCTTTAAAAACAGTTAATGAAATTTGGGATACAAAGGTATACTTTACTATACCTTTGCATTCTATACCTTTTGAGATGTAATATCATTTTTGTTACTCTATAAATTGTCCATAGTACTTGTTTCATATATTCTCTTTGTTCTTATAGGTAGAAAGTTGATTTTTAATTTCCATGCTATAGGAATATATATATTTTTCATTTTATTATGTGTTTTAATCTCTTTTATATTATGGAGAATTATAGATTTTTAAGTTTTTCTTTTTTAAGTTGAAGAAATGGACCATTTAGTAAATGTCCCTTGAGAAAATGAGAGAAAATGTTTCTTTCCTTTGTAGGATGAAAATCAGTTCTAGCTCTTCATTTAGTTCATTAATATAAAGTCTCTGTATTTCTTCTTTGTGTACTGGATTTACCAATACTGAAGTTCTTTTTTTAAAAAGATTTATTTATTTATACATGCAAGGACCGGGAATCACCGACAGTCTTGCAAGTCTCTTGTCTTCTGATTTATGTATTGATTCCTCTTAATCTTCATTTTCTACCCCATCCACTTGCCACTACACTCAACTAAGCAACCTCTTTAATTGGTATGACAGAAGTCCTGTTTGTATATATGCTTGTGAGATATGTTTTATTTTATGTCCCTATGTTATTTTCAAATTTTCCTAATGGTACTATATTTTCACCTGTTTCTCACTTTTTTACTAAGTACTATGTTTACGACTATTGATTTCTGCTGTATATGTTGCTTCAAAATTGGCCTACCTCTCCATGGTGGTATGTAGATGGGTGCATCCACCACATTCATCCATTTTCCCTCTGAATATGGTCACCCAGATCACATTTAACACCCTGCAAGAAATCTAGAGCTCCCTGCAACAAATCTTCCTCAGATATTTCTTTCATGGACTTATTTCTTGGGGATAAAGGCAGCTGAAGGATTCACAGATGGAAGGATATCAATAGTCTTAATTTAAGGAGTTGGTGTCAGATTTATCAGAATAGTTGCAAAGTCTGCATGTCCCCCCAAAAGTCATGAAGTTTTCGTGGTCCTAAACCCTGGCAATAATTTGCATTATTTAGCTTCTAAATTTTGCCAGTCTGAAGGGCATAAAATATTTCATTTTAATTGGCATTTCTTATTAGTAATTAACTTAAGCATGTGTTAAAAGTTTAAGGTCTTTTAAATTGCATATTCTGTGTTTTGTCTGCTCTTAGCCTTGGCCTGTTTGGTATTGCTGTACTTCCTTTCTCTTGTTCCTTTGCAGTTTCTTTTACAGTTTAGTTCAGGGTCAGCAAACTTTGGTCTGTGGGCCAAGTCTAGCTTGCTGCCTGTTTTCATAGAGGTAACAGATGGAGAATGGTATTTACATTTTTAAGTGATTGGGAAGAAATCGAAAAGAATATTTTGTGACACATGAACATTATATAAAATCAGATTTTATTGCCCATGAAGTTGTATTGAACATAATAGCCACACACTCATCCATTTAAGTATTGTATATTGTTACTGGCTTTATGCTGAAAAGGCAGATAGAATAGTTCCAACAGAGATTGTATGACCCACAAAACCTCAAGTAATTAGGCTGTCCCTTTGTAGGGAAAGCTTGCTGTCTCTGGTCTGGAAGAGAGTTTCTGATTGAATTCAGACATTGTAATACAATCTCCCAATCTAAATTCTGTCTGTTAATATTGCCATTGTGTTTATCAGTTAATAACCAGTATTTTGATGTAATCAAATTAAACAATTTAATTTTTTTGTCTAAACTTCCGTGCCTTTAAGGTTATGTTTGAAAAGTTCTTTTTTAGTTCTATATCACAAAGATACTTTCTCACATCATCTACAATTAGTTTTAAAATTTAATGTTTATATGTAGGTGTTTTATAAAATGATTCATTTTTGGAAATTATATTATGCATGATCTAATATAAATTTTTCTCTGTATAGAGAAGCCAACTTTTCCAAAACCATTTAATAATTTGTTTTATTCTCTAATACGTTTATGTAGGTGGACATTTTTATCATATATTAAATTTATATCTATTTAGGGTCTGTCCCCAAGTTTTTGCTTGTAATCCATCTGTTTGTCTATATACAGGAAAATCTTTTTACTTTTTTCATACAGACCAACTTGGTCATTTGTATACTCCTGTTTGTCCATGTAAAATTTTAGAATGGGTGGCGTTTCTTTAAAAATTAGAAGTAGAGGGCCTCCCCTGGTGGCACAGGCGGTTGAGCACTGCGCTGTGAAGCCATCCAGCCATCCGCAGCCTCTGCAGCGCTGGTTCGATCCCGGCTGGCCGGCCAGCGAGGGTCCCACATGGCGCAGCAGACCTCTCCTGTCTCGCCTTTTTCTCCCCTCAGCAGTGCATTTCGTCAGTCTGCCTGTTCTGCTCCCCACTCTGTCTCTGGTGAATCCTCTCGCTCTCCTGCGCATCTGGCCTGTACCCCAGTTCTTGTATAAGTAAATAAATCTTTAAAAAAATTAGAAGTAGATTTATTTTATTCAGTTAGTTTTAGAGATTAAATTGGGAAGAAGTGATACCTTTATATTGAGTGGACCCATCCACAGCACAGCCTATACTGAATTCTGATAATTTCCTACATACTTTAAGCTTAGCATACTTAAAATGGAATTTTATTTATTGTTCATAAAAATAACTTGCAGATAACTTATATTTGTGTTGCTATTGAAAATATACATTATTAAATTATATTTCCTAGTTGGATTTTGTTGCTATAGAGAATGGCATTAGTTTATTAGTATTTTTTTTTTTTGACTCTGGCAGCTTTGCTAAGATCTTATTAATTATTAATTTAGTTGGGGTTTGTAGGTAGATTGTATCTGCAAGCAACAACATTTTACATATTCTTACAAGGCTTATAGCTTTTGTTATTGCTGTGGTTGTTTTGTTGTATTTTATTTATCATGAGTTCTGGTACAATATTAAATGACACTGTTCTTTAAAATGGAGTAACTTAAGTTTTCCTTTAGATACACTATCCATCATGGTTGGGGTTTGTGTATGGCTGAATATGAACTTTAAGAACTTAAGGAAGTTTCTTTTTTTTTCTAGTGATCAGTTTTTTTTAACACATGAATCGAATTTTTTAAAAAATTGTCTCTATTGAGGTGATCATTAGTTCCCCCTTTTCTGTGGTGAGATACACCGTCAATTTTTATATGTAATTCATGAATATAAAATTCGCCACTTTTAAAGTGCACAGTTGGGTGGTTTTGGTCTAAACATAAAGCTGTGACACCATTACCTCTAGATAGTCCTAAAACAGTTTAATCACTCCTCAAAGAAAGCCTGTAACATTAAGTAGCTGCTGCTTCTCATTGCCCCTTGCCACCAACACCTGTCAATCAACAAGCTCCTTTCTGTCTCCATGGATCTGCCAGTTCTGGACATTTTTTGTAAATAGAATCATCCGATCTGTAGCCTTTCATGTCTGTTTCTTTAACTTAGTATACTTTCCTCATTGTTCATCCATGATGTAGCATGTAGCAGTACTTCATTTTATAACTGAATAGTAATCCATTATATATCATATTTTGTTCATCGGTTGAACATTGTGCTGTTTCTACTTTTGGGCTGTAATACTGCTTGCCTTTTCTTTTTTCTTACTTGCTTTGGCTACAGCCTCCAGTAAAATATTTAATAGAAGTGGCAAAGCCAGACATCCTTGTCTTGTTCCTTATTTTAGGAGAAAGTCTTAGGAGGGATGCTTTCAATCTTTTCCCATTATGTTAGCTATGGATATTTTTTAGATTCCCTTTATATGGTTCAGAAAGATCCCATTTGATTTATGGAGTGTTTTTATAATAAAAGGCATTGGATTTTGACAAATGCCTTCTCTGCATCTGTTAAGATAATCTTGTGTTTTTATCCTTAATCTATTAGTATAGTGCACTGCACTGATTGATTTTTATATAGTGAACCTATCTTGTATTCTTGGAATTAATCCCACTTAATCATGGTTTGATATATTTTATGTTGCTTGATTTGATTTGCTAGTACTTCTTGAGGATTTGTGTATCTGTATTCATAAGTATTGATCTGTAGCTTTATTTTCTTTTAATGCTATCTGATTTGGGGATCAAGTTAATAATGGCCTCTTAGAACAGGTGAGAAGTGTTCCTTTTTTTATATTTTTGAAGAATTTGAGAAGATTGGGATTAATTTATCCTAAAACATCTGGTAGCACCCATGAGTAAAGTCATCTAATACTTTCTTTGTAGGAATTAAAAAATGTAATGACTTATTATATTCTTTATAAGTCTATTCAAATATTCTGTTTCTCTATGAGATAGTTTTGGTAGTTTGCATCTTTTTAAGAATTTGTCCATTTCATCTAAGTTTTAAATTTTTTAGCAAAAAGTGCTGTTTATCCCTTTTTTCTGACCTTTGTTAAAAATGAAATCTAACACTTTGTACATTTATAGTATTGATTTCAAACATATCATTTTCAGTGCAGTGATAATTAGCACCTCTGTTAAGTCACAAAAATATTTCTTTTTAGTCAGTGGAATAATTAAGATGTAGTCTTAGATAATATGATATTGTTGTCTATAATGACTTTAAGGTGCATTTATCTCCAGAACTTATTTAGTATTCATTGCAAGTTTGTACCACCAAAAATATCACTTATCCCCCCATTTCCAGGGAACCACCATTTTCCATTTTATTCTGTTAAATTTCTTTTCGATTACACATTTAAGTGATGTAAACAATATTTGTGTTTGTCTGATTTATCTCTGATTTATTTAACATAATAGCCTCAATTCCATCCAAGTTTTTGCAAATGGCAGGATGATGTTCTTTCTCCTGGATGAATAATATTCCATTGTATTGTTACCGTAGTCCATGTGTCCCACTCAAGAATGTAATGAAAACTTGAGACAGAGTGACAGTGGGAGCACTATAGTTTATTGAGAATAAAAGAGCAAGAGACAGAGCTACAGGGAGACTACTTCACAGACAAGTAGCTCCCTGCCTGAGGTTTTGCTGGGGATTATAAGGCTGTAGAATGTTTGCTGGCCTTGCTTCTCTACCTTGTATTTTGGTTGATCGCCTCTCTTCTGCACAGGTGGTTGGTAAACCTGGAATATATAAAAACATGCCCATTAGCCCTCTAGTATCCTAGCAGACATTCTAATAGGAACATTGCAGGCTGTTCTGTGCAAGCATAAGGGGTATTAACAGTTGTGCCAGTCTTAACAGGATGCCTTGTACATTAACCATAGCCATAAATCTGACACCTGAAGGTCTCTTTCTGAGAGTGTCTACCACCGTTCGTGACTTAGTGGCTTCTTATCTTCCCATCTGTCCTTGCAACTGTGTACTAACGCACCTAAATTGGAGGCTTTCTTGACACACACACACACACACACACACATGCATATGTATCTCTTTATCCATTCATCTATTGATGGATCCTTTAGTAGTTCCATCATGTAGGTACTGTGAACACCTCTCTGATACTCTGCTTTCATTTGGTTTGGGTATATACCCAGAAGTAGAATTGCTGAGTCATATAGAGCTAATTTAATTTTTTGAGGAACAGCCATATTGTTTTTCATATGGAACTAATTTTTATTCCCAAAAAAGGTGTGCAGTGTTCCCTTTTCTCTACAACCTTACCAACACTTGTTTTCTGTGCTTTACTTTTGTTGAAAATTAGATGTTTGAGTAATATGTGACAACTTTGAAAATCTAATGCCCCTTCCACCAGAGTTTGTTGGTTTTCTATCTGTTGTTAGTATTGCTGTTTGTTTTGCAATCCTAAATTTATTCCATAAGGTTTGTGTTCTTTGTAGTGTGGAGCCACCGACATCTTGTTTCATTAGTTTAGTGGTCAGCTAATTATCAGGCAGTGTTTTTTCTTACATGTCTATCCCAATGTGTATCTCATTCTTTGTATATGTTGGTGGAAGCTTTCCATGTCATTAAGCCTCTAATTCAATCTGAGGTGAGAGCTTAGGATTTTTTCTCAGGTGTTCCTGAGGATGTGCCTAACCCTGAGCATGAACACAACTCTCAAAAGTGTGGCCTTTTTAAATTCCCTGGAAGATGTTGGATCTTGCCCAAACCTCTATGGTTATGGCTATCTAATTCTTCAACTGTTCCATTAAATTGTTTTGTCAACTCATTTGTCCCATCCATTATTGCCATGTCAGGCAGCTGAAATACTAATCGGTTGCTGCTGAATGTCTCTGACAAGCACTTCAGGGAAAAGGCTATTTGCACTGGGAAAACTGAGTCATGGCAAAGATGAGCAATGTGAGTGAAGGTTTCAAGGGAACTGCCAGGCTAGTCAAATCTGGGGCTTTGGCAAAACTCTAACCCTGTTCTGCCTCATCCAGTGTCACAACACTGATGATTTTTTTGTGATTGTGGGATGATTGATTTTTTTCAAAGCTATTATGGAGCTAGAGAGAGGGATGTGGAAAAAAAAGTCAGGTTTAAATGCTGCAAGGGTCATTGTTCTTAGTTAAATTAAGCCATTTTTCTTGAATAAATGCTCCCCCCACATGCTTTAAGTCTTTGGTTAGTTGCCTGGGTCTATAAAAGGTGATTGGACAATTTTTGTCATTGTTCTTATAACCCTTATGGAAGAAAGGATTAGGTGAACTTTAGTTCAAGTTGCATTGACAACTCCTTCATTGATAGGATTAATCTAAGTGACCATAAATGCACACAAAATATGAATATATCCTCTACATTAATAGTTTCTATAGACACATACACACAGACTGTTGGACTTCTTAAGCTAAAATTTGAGGTTTTTTTGCATTCAGATAATTAAGTGAAGTATATGCTTTTTTTTTCTGTGTTGTGTCCGGATTTAAAATACTAATTACACTGATCATGAGTGATAATTTCACCAGTTATCACATGGAATGATAATGAATGTTCACAGATTAGTCACAATAGGGCTTCAAGGCCAAGGGGACAGAATTCACCTGTGAAGCCTAGGACTAATATTTGGCAAAGTGGATGGAGGGGAGTTGACTATAATTTACGTTTCTTTCATATTTTATATTCTATTCAATATTTCTATTCACTGTTGACATTTATACTTTATAGGAATAAATATATTTCATCTAGGTATTGAAACATATTTAATACAAAATTATACTATACAATTGGTTTTGCCTTTGTCTCAGTGATGAATTTACAGCATTTTTACCTAGTTCAGGATCTAAACCAGATGATCCATTACACTTAGTTTGTATGTTCTTTAACTACCTTCAATCTGGAATGTTTCCTTAGCAATTTCTTTGTCATTCATGACATTGGCATTTTGAAATATTCAAAATATTCGTGACTGTTATTTTGTAGAATGTTCTTCAATTTCATTTTGTTTCTCTGGTTAGATTCAGGTCATGTTTTTGGAAGAAATAACTACTGGTATAGCTTCCCAGGAGTCTTAGCAATTTTCTTTTTAACACAAGTGTTGAGAAATATGTCATTTGGTTTCAAAATTACAAGATTCTAATGCAATCATTTTCTTATTTCTGATTTATTACATAATCAGGGGACACAGTAACCATATTGATTCTCTCAAATTTGTGGGGTTTTTTGCATTTTTTGTAAACATTTCAGTTGTACTTAAAGAATATATGTTACAAGGAAACATGTTATAGGGAAAGGCAATGTGATCAATCCTACCACTTGCTTGACTCCTGTTCATTCACAACGGTCTTCCTCTATGGCTTTTTATCTTGGATTGGTGGTAGACAAAATCTGGATAGGAAAAAGAGAGCTTTTATTTGCCTGCTATCACATACAACTATAGTGACACTCAATGGATATTTAAAGTTGGATGTTTCTCTTAAGAGTAATTCAAAGGGTTCCTCAAAGATTATTTAGCTGGAAGCAGTTGGTTATAGCTCCCTGCTGCTGGCGGTGTCTCCTTGGCTGGTTGCTGCTTGTTTCCTCTACATTATTTACATCTAGTGACAATTGGACTTTTCTTTCTACTAATAGTATTGCTATTCGAGTTCTAGAAGACAAGTGTCACGCTTTCCAGTGATTTCTTAAACCTTCTCATTAGGCATAATGGAAGCACCTCATAGGCTTAGGGGAGAGAAAATGATACACTAGTCTAAAAAGTTTTACTACAGAAATTTTCTCTCATCAACTCCTTAACCTATATATAGTTGTCCTTGATGTGGTTATTGGGCTAAATATCGCCAGATATTTCGGCCTAAATATTTTGAAAGCAATGGCTATCACTTTGCAATAGGTATTATCATTTTGTTCTTTGCATCAGAGACTGCCAAAGCAGAAAGAGGCCCATTATTATAAGTTAAATATGATGCTTAATTGCATTCTCTAACAATAATGTAATGAAATTAGAAGTTGAGAAGAAAATGATGTCAATCAAAGTTTCATATGTCAAAAAAACTTTGTTTAGGGGCCTCCCTGGTGGCGCAGCGGTTGAGCGCTGGGTTGCGAAGCTGCCTGCGGCCTCTGCGGCGCGGGTTCGATCCCCGGCTGCTCCCAGGCCACCAGAGGAGGGTCCCACATGGCGCGCAGACCTCTCCTGCCGCCCGCTGCTCCCCTCAGCAGTGTACTTTGGTCCTTCTGCCTGCTCTGCTCCCTGCTCTGGTGAATTCTCTCACCCTCCCGCGCTTCTGACTGTACCCAGTGCATGTATAAACAAACAAACAAACAAACAAATAAATAAATAAAACATGCCTCTATAAAAACAAAACAAAACAAAAAAAACTTTCTGTTTAGCTATAATTAAGATAGTATTGGAATAGGACATAGGTTAAAAAAAAAGCAAATGCAATAGCTATCCTGGTAACCAGATCAAGCATATATGAAAGTGGTATTATAAATAAGTGAACAAGGGATTGAGAATTATGATTCATGGAAACTGATTATTAAAATGGAAAAAAATAATTCCTGTCTCATTTCAAGGTTTGAAAAACTCAAACCTTGGTAGATAAAGATAAATTATGAAGAATATTACTTTAAATTATTAGAAGTTATAGAGAATATTTGTGACTTCAGAGTAGAAAACTTATTTAGAATAAATTATTGTTGGGTATTTAAAAATAATTATGCAAACAAATTCACAATCTCAAAATTGGAGGTGAATGAGTTAAAAAGTAGGCAATGCAGATTAAAAGATAATTTTCTGAAGCATGAACCCAACTTAACAAGATAGATGTTCACTACTGCAAGGAAATATTAAAATAAAAAATACCCTGTTTCATATCCATCTGATTGGCAAATAGCTAAAAATTCAGATAGTACCAAATATATTAGTTTGCTACAGCTGCTGTAATGAAGTACCACAAAATGGGTGGTTTGAATAACAAACTATTATTTCACTATTTTAGAGGCTAGAATCTGAGATCAAATTCTTAGCAGGATTCGTTCCTTCTGGGAGTTGTAAGGTAGAATCTGGTCTGTGCTCTTAAAGCTTCCGCTGCTTTGCTGGGAGTTTAGGTGTTCCCTGGCTTCTGCTTCACCACCCCAATCTCTGCCATTATCTTCATGGGGTGATCGCCCTGTCTGCATGTCTTAGTATCCAAATTCCCCTTTTTGGTAAGGACAGCAGACATTGGATTAGGGGTTCATCCTGACTCCAGTATGACTTTATCTTAATTTTTTTTCTGTAATGATCTTATCTCCACATAAGGTCATATTCAAAGTATTGGGAGTAAGTACTTGAACATCAATCTGTAAATCAAAGTATTGTCAAGGATGAAGAGTGATACAAACTCTCAGACATAGTGGTGGGAATATAAATTAGTATAATTTGCTTTGATATTTAATAATATTAGATATTTAATATCATGCTGTGCATCATCACCTTTAAAAGATATTTCTAGATGCCTGAGAGATAGTTATACATGGATGTAAAATTATGTATTTAAGAATGCTTTCACTAATGCTGTTTGAAATGGAAAAGCTACATGAAAAAATCAAGTTATAGAGTGATTCATATATTACTAGACATAGTCCAAGTTTATATGCTACATGTTATCTTTTGTTATCTGTGTAGATTGTAGATTAGGTACATGAATTGAACTGAAAATGGTATGTGGCACCCTACAGGACAGGCTTTTAATGGGGAGAGAAGAAAAGGGGTGGGATTTCAGAGCCATCAATTGCTGTTGCAACTATTATATTTGATGTTTGGTTTTCAAAAAAAGAAAATATGGTCTAATGTTAATATTTATGAAATCTGGCTTGGACCCTTAAGTTCTGATTATGTTAGCTTCTCTAATTTTCCCTCTTTTTGAAATATTTTATAAGGAAAATATTTTTTTTTAATCTCAGCAGGGTAGAACAATGTGCTGACAATAACAAGATAAAATTTAGAAGGGATGAATATAAAAAAGCCCTAACCTTGGATCAAATAGAAACCTCACCAATTGAATGCATACACAGTAGGGGACATGTGGGTTAAAAGAAGAATTTGCTTAAATATCTATGATTTGATTTAACTACAATTTCATGTGTCAAGACAATTAAGTCCTGCCAACAAATCTAATTTGTACTGAAGCTATACAGTGTAAGTGTCTAAGACAGTAAAGTGATAGTACTAGTTGACTTGGCTTCAGGCAAAAACTATGTTGCTCAATTTTATAGAAACTGGGAAGTTTAGAGGATAATGGCTCCAATGCATGTGAGTTACATCATGTGCAGCACTAACGGATGCTTGGTTTAGAGAAAAAGTTCAGCATGGGCCTGGTAACCATCACTGCCTGTTACTGTTCTGTAGAAATAGAATTTGGCTTGTTGGCTGTAGCCTGAAGATGAAACAAGAGCCAAGGGAGAGAAAGTGCAAGGATATGTTTACAAACATTATGCTTCACCTCAAGTTAATGAAGAACTTTCTAATAGCACTGACCAAATATGACGTGGTCTTCCTCAGAAGGCAGTGCGTTGTTTATACCGAAGTTGCCTGAGCAATGACCCTGATTATTTCGTTGTGAATTGTTGATTGCTGGCTAGATTTACAATAGTGATTCCAGAATTTTGAGTTTCATAGACTAATAATAAAACTTCAGATGAATAATTGGAGAACCAAAAAGTTTAACCTATTTTTCTAAGGAAAATTGTTACAAACATATGGAAGTCTTACACAGATACTATTCCCATTACTATAAATGGCTAATGAAGTACATCATCCCAGCAAGTATTTTTTCTACTTAAGAATATTAGACACTTTGCGTTGATATTTATGAATAATATATACTGAAATGTTTTAAGAAGGGAAATTGTTAGTATTTGTGTTTTGTTTAATCAAGAAAACAATTAGGTACCATATATCAACTGAGGCATTCATGAATATAATTGCATGGCATGGGGTAGAATTCAAATGTCCAAACCTTTCTTGAAATTGTTTTTGTTCATATTCGTCATCAAACATACTGCTTGGCCTAAGGGTGGAAGCAAATTCCAAATGTCCTTTTGCTTAATTTATAATGTTCCAGGTAGGCTGGGAAAAGTCAAACAACAGCTAATTAAACTCCAGCCTTTTTTAAATTTCATTTTAGGTCGTTGCAGGTCAGGATCTGACAGCCAGGTCTGCTTATAAGGGAGGCACAGGACTCTTAAATGATTGCTTACAAGGAGGGCTTTGCAGCTCACAGATAGGAAGAGAACCTCATCACACAGCCAAGGGACTGTGATGCCAAAGAGCTGCTTACAATGAGGGTGTTGAGGTCAGAATTCATGAATACGTAGAGTGTGGTTCCTCACAGACTGGGCTGAGCCCAGGGGACCTTAACCTAGAGTAGTGTTTCTAAACTCTGCACTTGATATTTTGGGCTGTGTGCTTTCCTGGCAGGCGCCATCCTCTGCTGTCCTGTATATTGCAGAATGCTTTGTAGCATCCCTGCGCTCTCCCCTTAAATGCTATGAGCAGCTCCCCCCACTCCAATTATGACCATCAAAATTATCTCTGTAGAAGCCTAATGTTCCTTAGGGCCAAGTTGCTCCCAGTTGACACTAGTTGGAAGTGTCATTAAGCTCTTCCCAGCCTGGAGGCCTATGGATGTATCTTCTTGAACTACACCAAAGTATAGAAAAGATTTCTAATGGCAAACCTAGAATCACTCATTTTTATCATCTTTAAGTACAAATGAGGATCAGGAAGGGGATATGGGTGGACATTTTTACAGTCTCCCTTCTGTTTAGCCAGAGATCTTTATTTTTGACATGGATAAAAATGACTGGGAACAAGTTTCAGCTGCACTTGAGTGTGGGGAAGTTGGTGAGCCTTTAAATACCATAGTTGCCTTCTTTGCATTAATCAGCCTTGATGAAGGTGGTGACCCTTTTATCATGCTATTTTTTTTTTCTTTTAAAAATTACCTCTTAACTATTTGGAAAACATTTTTAAAGCTTTGTGGTCTATTACATTTCCATCATCCTCCAAAATCCATCAAAAAAGTTAACTTTATTATTTGGGGAAAATCCCTACTTATGTAGACAACTTTCTCTCAAATACATACATATGGCTTCTTTTATTCTAGGTTTGGCTTTTTGCCTGGATCAAAAGTAAGAACTGATCTTTATTTGCCTTTGAGAAAGGGATTTGTGACCTTACTTTTGTTTTCCAGGGCTGCTTTGAAGAACTCTGTAACCAAACACTACCCAGATGTAAACAGTAACTTTTGTTCATCCTAATGGAAAATTATACTTTGTATTGAGGGACTAATGCTATATTTGCAAGGCGCCATAGGGACTTGCGAAAATAGCAAAAGGAATGAAGT